AAAACAATGACTCCTCTCTCTCCATTGTAGCTGGTCAGGTGGGAGGCAATCACTGCAGATTCATGGGAATTGGTAAAATCTTTGTTTGTCATTGTTCAAAAGTCTATTTTCATACAGTATATGGGTGAAACTAATAATGCTAATCTTAAATAGCCGGGGAATAATGTCTGTATGTTGATATGTGATGCATTCAAAATATATGACTTGTTAGTACCTATGTTGTTATAAACGCTAGTTTCGGAGCCTGTCTCCTTCCTGTTGGGGCTCGTGACGTCACTGATGCTCGATCCAGATCGGGTTGGGTGCTGGTTTGGGTGTCTGGATGACAGCAGGGAGGAAAACTGTCAAGTCAGATAGAGTACGCCAGGATGTGGGCGCCAGGAAAATAAAAATATTGCCTTCAAATTAAAAGCACTAAAGTACATTCTAAATTTCCACAACAAATAATATAAAAATAAAGCCATTATGGCAAAGAATATCTGCCATAGTAAGGGAATTGAAAAAGGAAAACATAAGATTTTATATTTTAATTTTGAGCAGATATCTCAAGATAAATGCCCACCTTTGTTTTTGCTTTACAATCTGTTCGCCAGTTGCTGATTTTACTTTGAAGGCGGTCACCAGTAGTCTTATCATCCTCCTGCTGGCTAGCTTCACAGTGTTGAGGGAGGCTCCAGGGAGAGTGAGAGACAGACGAGAGGCAGAGGGAGATGGCTGAAGGGAAGGAGGAGTGGACCGGGTCAAGAGCGACTTTGGAAACCAACCTAATGTGACCTTGATCATCCAGAGCTGTCGGCGCTGTAAAGAGAGTCCAGAACAGAGAGATATCACAACGACACGTCCGGCGAGACCTGCTCATCCGAGTGACATTCATCAATAGGCTATCTGCCGGTTTCCTCTCTTCAGGATTATTTAACTGCCCCCCTTTTGGATTTTTGACAAAGAGAACACATTGGATCAGTCACTACTGAGAGTGAGTAGGGCTCTTTACCGGGGCTGCTTTCATAAATAGATCGTTTCAGTGGCGATGGCATATGTATCATAAGGTCAGCTGATCATGTTTGGATACTTAATGTGTTACTGTAAGGACACGATTTATGCAAACCCAGATCCGCATCCGTGACGCGACCTGCTGATGTAGATAAAGCCACACCCTCAGACAGCATTCAAAAAACGTTGTTCATGCCACATGCATGAATGAACCCTGGCCTATTTTACTGGGATAGTGGCGGCAGCAGCATTCACTGCAGGCGACAGTTTTCACTGTATGACATCCAGTGAGATGTTGGGCCTAGCACAAGTGCATTCAAAAACATATAATTGTAATGTAACTGCTTTTCTTTTGGTTATTTAAAAGAACACTGATTTTAGGTTTCTCTCTCCTCAGTGTTATATTCCCTACTATAATTCAGAAAAAAACATGAGGTATTTTCACTATCCTTGGGGTATGTTTTTACAGAGATAGCCTATTAAACATCTTATTGTTTGACTTTACTAACAGTACCTTTTTTGAAGACCGTATGAGGAGGAGTTTTTACAAGTTGACATGCATAGATGAGTTGGTTAGGATTGTTAATTTTGGAGTGCACCATAGCCCAAGAGAGAGTGAACACAGCATATAGGCTGCCGCAATGGGAAAGACACCCCAAGGTTGTGGTGCTGCTATACAGAGAAGAGAGGATGTGCTGAAGTGTCTGGCCACCTTCATCTGTTGGTGTGGTCATGCATGTGCTTGTCAGTCATAGAAGATCAGTCATGTCAGATGCGCTGATCCATCACCAGGAGTCTGTTATCTAATACAAGTACAGAGACGATCACCTATCCGTGCAACTGTCTGCAGAGGACACACAAACACAAAGATGCACACACACTAATTCTCTGTTTCTATTTATATTCTTTTCCGCTGGTAGCATCACTATCTGTTTGATCTGACACAGAGGTGAATGTCAGCATCAAAAACTGTGGTGTGTTTACTGACTGTGTATCTGCAATGAGCCAGTGACACACTGAGTCCTGCAGAATAAAGATAGAGAGCTGCAAGGTCGCTCTGAACACCGCTGTATTTACTTAAGATAGGGGGCCCAGGATCAAACTCTGGTCATACCATGTTACTTCAGTAGTCTGTGCTCTGAGGAAGGGTGACAGGAAGGTCAGGAAATGTGGGTTTGCAGTGTTGGCTAGTGATTCAAGAGCTTCTCCTTTAACCATGTTGGCATCTATTCTCACTGCTGTGGCCTTGAAACACTAAACCCCTCACAGTCCAGTAGTTTTACCTGCCGTATGAACTCGTGTAAGGGCAGAACAAAAAAACAGAATTTCCCGCACATGGATCAATTAAGCAGTGCACTCTCATTATATCACGCTATTATCAAGAGTTGCTCTTATCCACCGTCTGCCTTGTTATTCCTTTCCCGACAGATGAAGAGTGGTGTCTGCAGTGGATAGGCTCTGCTAGATAGATAGATTTATGCAGCTTGTTGGCAGGCAGCACAGTGCAGACTCAGCAGCAGCACTTGAAGTTAAAGACTCTGTAGGGAAAGAGCGAGGCACATTGATTAGTGTGGACTTACTCAAACACAAGTTCGTATGGCTCTTTAAAGGTCTCTGCTTCTCCCCCCCAACCCCTGTCTCTCCTCTCCAGCTTGCTGTCTAACCCGGTGGAGCTCCAGCTCCAGAGGCCCATGGCCTCTGTTTCTCTCCATCAGTGAGAGGTGAGCCAAGCTGGCCTCCCCGGCCCCCTCCCTGCCCCCGGCCCCAGACCTGGACCCAGACCCGGACCCCGAGCCCGACCGGTTGCACACCCAGGAGGAGCAGTATGTGAGCGAGGGCGAGTCCAGACAGCTTGACACACACCTGGCGGCGCCCGACTGCAGGGACGCCGAGACCATCACAGGTATACGTGTGTGCATGTTAGGTTCAACTTCAAATCTCCAAACATAGCTACATAGTTTGCACATGACAACAGCAATATGTAACACATGCAACGACATGCAACACTTCTTTAGTCTAATGTCAAATGTGTTTAGTTTTTTGTTCCATCAGTTTATAAACTCTAATTAAGGAAATTTGTACAGTTATTGGTTCAAATAATCAGGCACCACCAGGCAGCAGCACATTCACTTTCCTCCCTCCCTGTCCTCTCTGTGATGCTCAGATGTGTGCAACAGTACTGACCTGCCAGAGTTTGAGATCATCAGTCTTCTAGAGGAGCAGCTGCCGGTGTACCGGTTGCGGGCTGACACCGTCTATGGCTACGATCACGATGACTGGCTGCACACTCCCCTCGTTGCACCAGAGGCCAGGTTCGACCTGACCACTGAGCAGATCGAAGAGACCCTCAAATACTTCTGTAAGTCTGGCTAGAGCACAGTTAACCGCAATGAAATGATTCTATGCAGTATCTGTCCGTTTCCTGTGCTGCTGATGCCAGTGGTAAAGCCTGCGGGAACCTTTTAGTTCTTTTGTTTCAAATTCAGTGGAAATGTAGTAGAAGTAGACGAGGAGGGAGACTGGAGATTAAGCTTGTGGGATTTAATCTCTGGGACCGGTGTGGGAATGTGGGGCTTCAAATATGACGGATTTACCCACCTGGGGATGCTACAGTTAATCATTTTTTTGCTGTTAAAACCAAGAAAGTAAGAGCAAATTCTCCATTCAGTTCAAAGAGGGGGTAAACTAGTTCTGTAATATTATTATTTTTGTAATACTAGATTTTACTTGTATTGGGATTCCTTTAAAGTTTCCGCCTTCTTATTTCTTCCCTGTTCCTTCCCTACCCAGCCTCAAACTGCAGATACACAGACACACAAGTCTTGTAATGCATTGTCTTGTAATAAAACATTTGTTTTGCTTTCCTCCTGCCATATCAGTGCTATGCCTAATATACTGGCACAGAGGCTCTGTGAATAGGGTGAAGGGGCTTGTGGAGTGAGGGGACACACTGTCTGCAGAGGCTTTCTCTTATAAACAGGAAATTGCAAATTGTTCTAGGACGTTATAATGAAAGCTCCACCTAGCTGAGTCAAAAGCCCTCTCTACATCAGTAACTATATGTTAATCTGTCCAGATTAATTTAGATGAATACAATTTAATAAGAGTTTTTCTAATCTAAGCCGTTATCCATGTGTCTTTTTTCAAATGACATAAGCTTTCTCACCGTTATCTAAAGTCTAGTTTGTCCTTTCCCTGTTTTAATAAAACTGAGATTGTAGCCTCCCTCCACAAGTTGGTGCCCAAACACTAAACCATTCAGATGCTATGCTCCAGACTTTTGTGTGGTTTTAATCTAGATATTGATTATATGTGTGTTGTGTTTAATGTTTCTTTATTTAATCAGAATGTCTACTATGTATTAAAAGCCCTTTGTAGGTCTTTCAGTTGAGTTGGTCAATGAGCTTGTCTACTCAGTGCTTTGTAGTATTAGTATTAGCATTGTTGTCTTGTAAGGTTAGATGATTGTATTCTGTTATTGAGCCAAACAAAAGTCACGAGGCTGAAGCACAACGTATGTGTGTGTGTGTGTGTGTGTGTGTGTGCGGGGGGGGGGGGGGGGGTTCTGTCTGCAGCATGATAAATGGTAAAGAGCTAGTGTTTACGTCTCTGCGTGTGGCAGGGGTTTGTTTGTGGATGAGGGTTGCCATGGCAACAGTTGCTGGAGGAAGATAGATGTTCAGCGGCCTTGCACATAGCATCAGAGAGAGGAAAGAGAGGAATGAAAGAAAGGCGAAAAGGAGAGAGGCGTGGGAGTTCTGTCCGCCCTTATAAACTAAGAGGAGAGTCCACTCTGCAGCCCGCCATCTCTGATTGGCTCTTTCTTCCACTCTGCAGCCCCTAAATCATGACGCAACTTCTACTTCCGTTTCATCTCCAACTCAGCAGCTGTAGAGCCTTTCCAAAACGGATGTGCGCTCTCTCTCATCTCTCCGTCTACCTCGCACTTACAAACAGGGGCGTCCACGTGGGCGGAGGGTAATTCAGTCTCTGGGCCTGTTATATTGTAGCTGAGCAGTAGGAGTGAGAGAGGGAAAGTGAATGGATCAGTGTTTGAACCGGTTGCTGTTTGTGCTTGTCGCTCATTGTGGAGCTCAGGGAAGAGATGGACAGTGAGAGCAGGATGGAGGGATTAGCGAGGGAGGAATGTGAGCTGGATGACTGGTACTATAAGGAGGACAAGAAAGGTAAAGTACATGTCGAAAATACAGAAAAAAACATTTAATATGTGATCAGTTTAATGGTGGCATCTCTTTCTTTCCAGTACCTTTTAATTGGATTTTCATGCACAGTAGACTAAAGTAGAAGCTGATTTTTATGGCTTGACATTTCCCTGTTACAGTTTGTATTATGACTGCAACAGATTACATTATTTCCTCTGATTTCTAGCAAAAACAAAAACAGCATTTCAAATTTTTTGAGTGTTTCTTGGTTAGTGGTCTTACACTTGAGCTTGTCTTTTTTCTTCTTCTCATTAAGAGGGATTTCCTGAAGCTTTATGACTTTGAATTTGCTCTGCTTTAACATATCAGCTGTCGAGCACGCACTCACGCACGCACACACAAATCCCCATAGTCCGTTAATGTGATTGAATTTTAGTTTGAATGCTGTTAGCTCTCTTTATTTTCAAAGGAGAAACCCAAATGGGCTTTAATGGAGCAAAAACAAAATTATTTTGTGCTGGTTTTAATTCTAACAAGATTACAGAGCTTAAACATAACGTATTCAATAACTTTGTACAGCATGTTATTGATTAGAGCTCTGAAGTCAATAAGAGCTTTTACCTCAGGGCTACAGAGCCAACCACAGTGTGCCATGGAAAACAATTCCTCTGCCCTGCTCTTTCATACACAAACTGAAACGGGTACAACCTAAACATGACCCTCCCACCAACTTGAGAGGATGCCTTTTTGAACTCTCTATGTTACATAATGTGGCTGTGTGTGCGTGCCGTTGTCCACCTATCACACCAGAAGTGATGAAAAGATGAGGGGTCCTTTGCAACAGAAAGGTCCCACTGCTTTCATCCAGGGTTTTTTTTTTCCTCAAAGTGAATGTAGCTCTGCACATGCTTGCTAGCGTCTCCGTTTGCGTGTTTTATGTTACAGTGCTATGTGCAGACAGAGTGGGCCAGATGACGAAGACCTACAATGACATAGATGCTGTCACACGTCTGTTGGAGGAGGTGAGGCGGTCTATTTTTGTCTGCTCTGTCAGCGCAATACAAAGCTGCACTAGGAAGGATTTTTAATTAGTAGAAATCACAAAGTGAGGCTGCAGCAGAGAGGGTGCTGCACTGATTTGCCCTTTTTGGCCAAATGTAATAATATATGTGGTGTGAATAGTTGTGGATAAACCCTTAAACAGAAAGTGATCAAACAAACAGCAAAATATAGAAAGCAGTGAGTGAATTCTGCCTCTAAATTTACCAACAGCGGCTGAACTCCACCCCCGCAGGACAGCAACAAGAACAAATGTAGTTTAAAAATGTTGTATTGTGGGATTTTTGTGGTATTGATGCTTTACTTCTCATTTTCTTTGCTTCCTGCGACCCAACCAATAGAAAGAGAGAGATTTGGAGTTAGCGGCAAGAATTGGCCAGTCGCTTCTGAAGAAAAACAGAACTCTGACCCAGCAGAATGACTATCTGGAGGAACAAGTGGCACAAGTCACAGAGGAGGTCTGCTCACACACACACACACACACACACACACACGTAGATACACCTCAGTTAGGCACTAACTCATAACATTATTCAATCTGATTATTTAGATGAGCTATTTTACAATTTGACAAAACAATCTCAACTCACTGTCCACTTACTAACTTATTTTGTGGCTTTCAATTGTATCTTAGCGTCTTCTGCGGTGGGTGGAGCTTGCACAACATCCATAAAGTTAACAGTCTCCATGACAGTTGAGCAAATGCTGATGAAGTATTATGGTTCTCTGAGCTAGTAAATAAGTAAAAAGCTAGTGAGTGGACCTTGAGTTGTGTTTTTGTTTTGTCACACTACTATTTCCAACTTTTAAGCTTTGTTTTGTCGTGCCTGGTGTCATCTCACACAGCTGTCATTTTATATTTGCTTGAAGATCAACCAGATTGTATTAGCACATCCACACCACATACATACAGTATAATGCACACATTTATGTAGAAACATGCACAAGCAGTTGACATTATCGGTCCTCTTCCAGGTGGCCCAGCTGCACCATGAGCTGAACCTGAAGGATGAGCTGCTACAGTTTTATACCAATGCAACTGAGGAGAGTGAGGATGAGACCGGCAGCCCCCCAACGTTAGCACCCTTTCTTTATAATCATTATCTTTCTTTCTATCTCTAAAAAGTTGATCTAATCATTTAGAATTTGTATGTTTTGGGGATGCCACATCGCAAAAGCAAGCAAAAATGCTACACACATAGCATACGAGTTTAACATTGATTCCTATATATTAGAGTATTGAAAACAACAAGCAAGAGATGACCTTCTAGCTGTGAGTTGGGAGTTTCAGGCTCGCTCTGTGTTTATCTGTCCAAAGGGATAAGAAAAGTAAAGTGGAAACAGCTACAGGAGGCTTCGTTAGGGACACGCTCCAGAGGAAACTCAAAGATCTGGAGGAAGAGAACCTGTCGCTCCGCTCAGAGGTATATCAACATACAACAGAGAAAGAAACACCGCTCACGAGGTAGACATAGCTGAGCTGCTGGAGCTGTATAGCTATAAACTCATTTTTAAAAAGCATCTGCACACAAATATTTGCAAAAAAACTCTTAATTAGCAAGCTTTCGATCAGAGAACCTTTTCAAGGCAAGAGCAGATAGCCCACACACAGCCAAACACACACACACTATGTAAGAAACTGAACATGCTGGGAATATATTGTTTAATCATGGACGTCTTTTTGCAGGCTAACCATCTGAAGTCAGAGACTGAAACATATGAGGAAAAGGAGCAGCAGCTTGTAAATGACTGTGTGAAAGAACTCAGTAAGTCTCTCCATTTCTATGTTTCTCTTTGTGTGCATGTCTAAACTTAATTCTGACTGAATCAGAGCTTCAGCCCTCTGTTGAGTCTCCAAGACATGTCTTCTCTCACGCTGAAACAAACTTTCCCTCTCGGTCCTGTCAGGGTTGTCCAGTCTCCAAATCTCTGCCATAGCGGAGGAATTGGCTCGCAAGACTGAAGATGCATCCCGACAGCAGGAAGAGATCACACACCTCCTCTCTCAGATAGTAGATCTGCAAAAGAAAGCCAAATCTGTGAGAACACACAGACACATACATGAATCCATTTTAACTCAGAGATGACTGTTATTATGCTCTGTTTGTTTTGCTCATTCAAAAACTGCATGTGTGTCTCTAGTATGCGGTGGAGAATGAGGAGCTTTCTCAACACCTGGTGGCAGCTAAAGATGCCCAAAGGCAGCTTACAGCAGAGGTAACGTTCACATCAGTGCACTATCTAGACCACATTTCCTTACTTGTCAAGCTGATACCAGACTGGTTGACTTTAATTCCAAAAGTTAATTTTAATGTCAACAATCAACAGCTCCAGGAGTTGGAGGAGAAGTATTCAGAGTGTATAGAGATGCTGCATGAAGCTCAGGAGGAACTGAAGAACCTGAGGAACAGGAACTACCCTGCAGGAGCCCCTCGACGCTACCATCCCCTGGGACTGTACCCAATGGTGAGGGAGTGTGTGTGTGTGTGTGTCTGAGTGTGTGTACACGATCATCTTCCATTCCTTCATGAGTTTTTGTGTTGTAGGACTCTCTGGCTGCTGAGATTGAGGGGACAATGAGGAAGGAGTTGAGTCTGGATGACCCCGATTGTGAAGAACAGAAGTATGTATGGACTTCTGTATTTTATATTGTAAAGTGTATTGGGACCATGTTATTGTGATTTTGCATTTTAAATAAACTTGACTTTGACATTTAACTTGACATTTAACACTTAAACTACTGTATGTGATATTTTGGGAAAGTTGCTTGTATTCCAGAAAAACAGACATTCACAAAATTTGTTTTTTGATAGACTGGACTTTTATAATATCTGTTGAATTTTATACAGATTACCACAATGTTTTCACACAGCAAGGTCGGACCACCTCTTTGATTACTAAAACATTCATTGTCCCCAGAGGAAGAATCCTACTGACTTTAGTGAACCTCTGACTTTCCCCCTAGTGCCACCACAAGGTTGACGTTTAGTTTTATCTGAAATATCTGGACAACTATTGGATGGTTTGCCATAAAATGGATATTCAAGGTTATATTCATGGATAAATTACCTATAACTAATCGGTAATTAGTGATTTACCTAATAACTTGGTCAGAGTTTTAATTATCAAGTGAAATACTAAACACACTAAACTAAGATGGCACACAGTATAGGCCTATTCCTACTAAACATCAGTATGCTAACGTTGTCATTGAAAGTGTTAGAACTGCTAGCATGCTGTCGACTCTTATCTTCTTTAAATTTTACACTCCCTGTACTTTCATTTAGTGTCAAGAGCTTAAACATTTGACAAAAAGCAAACGTTAAAATCAGTAAATGCAAATGTAGAGAAATGGCTAGTTGCACTAACAAAACGTAATCTCACTGGCTGAGAGGGTTCAGCCAAAACCTTGTTCTGGTTAGCTGACTTTAGAGGAATTGGAGAATTGAAAAATGGAAAATGTCAATAACTTCTGCAGTCACGCCACTGTTGATTGTAAGGGCCACCACGGTAGCTAATGTAGCCTACCATTTTATCCAGAGAGCTACAGGATAGTGTTGATAGTTTGCATGTGGAGAGTCAGTCAGGCTAACTGACTAACCCAGAATGTGTTACATAGTCACAGAATTTTTGGTGCTTCCCTACAAAGCAGCTCAGCCCCCAAGAAAAATCTCTAATAATAATTTTTTATTTAAATTTGCACAGAAATCAAACACTTGCACCACACATTCTGCAGACTATATGGGCTAATACTCTTGTGTTTGGTTGTGTGCAGAAGCCATCGGAAACGTGTGTTTGAGACGGTTAAGAATGTCAACCAGACAGTCCGTCAGCGTTCTCTGACTCCAACCAACTCCAACATCCCGGGCTCCAACCAGTCTCTGTCAGCTCGTACGTCTCCCCAGTCCAGCGGCCTCTCCACACCTCACTCCAGCATGTACGGAGGTGACATCAGCGGAGACAGTATCGCTCTTGACAACCGAACACAGAGCATCCTGATGGAGACCGCATCCAATCAGGATAGGTGAGGAGGAGGGGGCTTGTAGGCTATAACTAATAAGAGAGGAAGTTGAGAGTACCTAAAAGGTTTGTGGTATTCAACCGTTAAAAAAGAAAATAATAGAGAACACCCTGATTAAGTTTTCTTGTGAAATATTAAAATATTTGAATCCCTTGTTAGTTTAAAGTCTAACAACTCGCCGGATATCCCCCTGAGTGATAACTACAGGTTTACACGGGGTTGCAAGCCTTTAAGAAATCTTATTTGGAAATCTAAGGCAAATACTGTATACTATAGTTTACAGGACAAATACTTGAGCTATATGCAGATATGGGTGCAGCTGTCTAGCTTTTTGGGACAGACGGTGAGTGTATCCAAAATGTCAAAATTAGAAGGTGATCTGCAAAAAATTATTAGGGAGAAAGAAATGATTACTACGAAGATTTACAAATTGTTGAACAGCTCCCAGGCGCACATATGAAGTGTACTTCAAGGCAGTTTGGAGAGAGACCTGGGGTTGACCTTTGATACAATTTGGAAAAGTCTTCAGAAAGTCTCTAAATCAGTGAAAATTAAGCTGATTAACTATAAAGTGGTACACAGGATATATTTCACCCCAGTGAGAATTAATAGAATTGGCTTGTATCATATGGTCTGGTCATGTCCAATACTTGAAGCACTGTGAGATAAAGTGAGCCTTTCTCTCGGACTGTAAACATTCCTTATTATTATTGTTATGTCTCAAATTACATAACCTTTGTTACTATTTTCTAGTATGCTATTATTGGTTTGTCTGAGTAAAAAAATACAAATCAGGAGGAAAAGTTGAGCTTGAGGGCATTTTTTTGTCATCTGCATGAATCAAAGAGTGAACCTTTTTTAACTGTTTCTTGAGTTGAGGCTTGAGGATTCGTCAAATGTCAGTAGTGCAGTTTATATAACATGTGCTACAACCAATTGTCACTATTTTCTCAAGATTCATTCATTGAAAAACTTTCTTCCTCTCTGCTCTGACAGCAGCACAGAGGGCCGAGAGAAGAAGGCCAGCGGAGCTGAAGACCTGCGGCTCGCCCTGCGCCGCCTGTCTCTGCGTCGACAAAACAACCTCAGCGAGCGACGCTTCTTTGAAGAGGAGAGGGATCGGAGACGCGGAGGACATGGAAGTCTACATAATGCCCTGGACCAGGAGAGTGTGATGACTCCCTCGGAAAGCATTATGTCCCTTGGGAACCTCCATATTTGGGCTTCACGAGGACCCTACCTCCCTGACAAGCTCCAGATCGTCAAACCCCTTGAAGGTGAGGGAGAAAGGCAGCGTGGGATGAGCTGCAAGGCAGGGAGGAAGTGGGAAAGCGACCAACACCAAGGGGTCGGGGCACAGACAGGGAGCAAGCGGGGCCAGGTGACCGAAGGGGAGAGCCAGCATGGGCGGACACTCGAGGGGGAGAGGGGAAGAGTTTGGGGATGGGCAAGGAAGACTGGAGCTGCAATAGAGAGGGAGAGAGGAAGGCGGTGGGCCAGAGACCGAGCTGGTAGTGGGAAGATAAAGGGAGCAGAAGAGAGGAAAGGGAGACCTCCGTCCCTAATGCTCTTCAACTCTTTCTGGTCTCTGATGCACCGTCACAAGTCAGGCAGTTTCGCATCTCCACATAGCTATTACGACACACAGCCGAGGGGATGGTGGTAGACAGATCTAGACTTGTGATCAAACAGAGGAAGAAAGAGGATTTTGCTATACATCCAAATCATTTGCTGCTGTTCTTTAATTGATCCCTTTGGTATAAAGGCCTGTGATTAAATGATGTCACAGCTGGTGCTGATGGAGAGCACCTGATTGGACATCACTGATTGGGTGGTGGCTAGAAGTGTATTGTACACCTTTGAACCCAGGGAGAGTCACAGCAGCATTTTATTATTCCCCTTGTGATTCAGTGTTGATTTGGCTGCTGTTGGCCTGCGCTGCCCTCTGGTGGTAATATTTCATACTTCATTTATCTCACACCGAAACCTTGCCATTGCTTCTGTTTACATACGTTTGTTTATTTTTATTTACACCTTCTCATTTCTTATATGTACTGTTCTGTATTTATGTGCGTTTTTATAATTATTTATTTATGGATTCCACTGTTTTTTTTGTTTGTTTATTCTTTCACTTCTTTGCCGTCTCTGTTTCAAATTCATGTGGCTGACTAATAAAAACGTTTTCTCATTCTGATTGCTCCTCCATTTCATTTTCATGTCATTCCTCTGCTCTTCATCACTTTGTGGTGTCTCTGTATTCTTGCCATCTTTGTTTGTCATCCTGATCACTGAGGCTTAGTCACATATCTCTTCACTGGTTTTATTCATGGGTATGCTTATTAGACACACCAAGTAGTATCTTAAATGTATACCTTTGATTACCTGTCATTCTTTCATCACATAAACTGCATGTCCATGTGCTGGTACTATATGCGATATTTATATGATTTTTACTTTATTACCATAGAGTAGCTGTTTATTTATCCCTGCACTAATATCATAAAGCCAATTACTACACATGTGTTATAGTTGATGAATAACTGGTGAATTAACAAAGTAAAGCCTATTAAGTCTTTTCACTGAAACCATAGGACAAGTGCTAACAGGTCTTTTCAGGACAACTACACATCAGAAGCATTGCATGTCTGGTGACGATAAAAGAACCAGTTACAAACACAGTATTATCATAAATTATCCAAGCGTTTATTTGTAATAAAATACTGAGTACATCGCAGTTCTGTCTGTTTCTCTCCACTAGGCTCTGCCACCCTTCATCACTGGCAGCAGTTAGCGCAGCCTCACCTCGGTGTGATTCTGGACGCTAGGCCTGGAGTCGTGCCAAAGGGCTACAGGCCCCTGGAACTAGAGCTGGAGCAGGTGTGTGTGTGTGTATGTTGGGGGGGGATGTGTTGGATTTATTACGAGACATAGTGTTAGTCATTATACAACTTTTTTATTGCTCAAATAAAATTGGGATTCTTAGTTCTCTTTTGCTATAGAGGGAATCAAACCCCACTTATGTGCTTGTAAAACCAGAGTATAGTGATGTACAGCAAAGTAGCCGTCCATATCCCTTTCTACTATTTCTCTTCTCAGTAAGTTCAGTGGGAGAAGACGACGCTGATTAAAATACACACTGACCAAAACAACTCAGAACTTTGCTTGGATAGTTTCTGTATAATTAATTTCATTCTTGATATTTAGAGGGAAGTGATACATAACAAAAACCTTGTATGACACGACTTGACTTACTACTTGCAAAGTACCCCTTAACCTACTCCTAATAAATGTTTGTATTACAATAAGAAATAGTATCAACACCGTGATTGCTCTTGTCCACAGGTATATCCATGGGGTGGCTTTGAGGAGGAAGACCCAGGGGAGCAATACTTCCAGAATCTGCCCACCTCCTCGGCCTCTGCCTCACCAGCTGTGCCCTCCACCTCCATCACCGGTGACACCACCGTAGGACAGCCTCCACCCAGCATTGCTCTACCTTCTCCACCCTCTCCATCCCCATCGCCACATCTCAGCAACACCGACGTCCTGGGTGAGGCCATACTGTACATTTAAACTTTCTACATGTAATGTAAACCTTTACATTGCTGAACCTGTTTGGAACGCCTGCAGTGTATCAAAATGAGTTTCTTCATCGACTGTCATTGTGACTTGCAGCTGCATACTACCCAGGCAAATGCATGGCCCACACCAGCTCGACCTACACCTTCACAACCTGTCGGATCCTCCACCCAACTGATGAGCAGACGCGGGTCACACCAAGGTAAGCAACATTAAGGAGTGTGGGGCTGCTTTTTGTGGCCCTTCCTCTTGACTGCCTAAATGTTTCTCGTTGATCTGCCAGAATTTAATCATAATCAAAGCTGCAAAGTTAAAAGCACCCCTAACATATGCCTTATTACTAAAATCCTTATGAAATAATGTGCTTTTATAGGAACTGTGATGTGTTGGGCTCCTAAGGATGCACAATTTCCTCTCTCTTACTGTATATGTATGTATGTGCTTTTAAAAAGCTATTAAAATTAGTATTGTTTTACATTTTATATATTGTGATAACACTACAAATTAACATAAACATTTGATGCTGCTTAATGTGAATCCTACAGTGTGCTAAATGTGCACTCAGTCGGTATTTGACTAAATCCCACAGGAGAAATAAGATCCAAACAGCAGTCACTGAGGGGGGATTGTGTCCACTGTCTGCTAGACAGCAGGAGGGTGCTTAATAATACATGCAGGTACTTATGGTTAGAAGAAACAACATCCCCTGTGCACAGCAAATGTCAGTTAATACAATGATGAGATATCACAGAAGTGAGATTTAAGTTTTTGAAAGCAGCAAGAAGAAGAATCTCTTCAGTGTTTCTAATTCTCTTTGTTCTTTTGTCTTGCTGGCTTTCTTTCCAGTCTTAACCCAGTCCCAGCGTCGTCCTCCTGTGTGATGACCAGCACTTTGTTGGGCACTCCTGCAGCTACACCCTGCACACCCCGCAGGCTCAGTCTCAGGCCGTCCGAATCCTCAACCAACCTCAGGCAAGATTCCAAATCGAAACAAAACTTGTTTCTTTGTTAATGAGTTAGCAGATTATTTCCTAGTCACTTTTATAAAACCATTCACTGAGTTTGTCAAAGTTTCCTCAAAACAAGACCTTTAAGTTAACTTGCTTCTAGTAAGTAAACATACATTTTTTGAGCTTCAAGTCAGTATGATGTTGACTCTCATTTGTTTCCCATGTTTGTGCAGAGACGCAACACGCACAACCAGCACCTCCCTGGGGTTAGTGCGCCTTCTCCAGGAGAGAGGGATTTCAGCAGCGATGTATCACCAGAGCCAGGGCCTGGATCCCGGTCTGGGCAACGGAGGAGTCTTATTCAGCACCTCCATCGCCCCTAACCGAGCGCCTGACCCCCGACCCTCTACCCCTCCCAACTCGCCCACAGGAGAGGGAGCTTCAGCCGTACCAACCTCCGCGGGCTTCGACTTCAAGAGCCCTTCCTACGACAACTTCCTGGCCTCCAAACCGGCCCGTTCCATTCTGAAGGAAGTGACAGGGAGGATGAGGGGACGGCAGAGAGGGAGGGATTGCGAAAGTCAGACAGACGTTAGCGTGACCGTCCACAACCTCAACCTGCTTGACAAGGTGAAGCGTCTGGGTGTGGCTGGAGCTCCAGGGGGCAGAGCAGTGAGTCCCAGCCCTATCCTGGGGCCTCTGGGAGGGCTGCGCAGGTCTGGCTCTCCTTTTGGGCCCGATGGAATGAGGAGGAACCGGAGTTATCCAGCCATGGTTGGGGCCAGCATGGCCATGAAAGCCCCGGGGCCCCAGGAGTAGTCTGGACTGCTGCTGGCCGTTAGTGTAGCCAAGTAGGAGCCAGGCAGGGCCAAGGACTGGCTGTGGAGCAGTCACCTGGAGCCCAAACACTGACTCTGTTCATACTGTACATTGTGGCACTGCTGACCAGTTTCTAATCACTACTGTGTCCACGTGGACACTATCCACTCTGTAGTTCTTTTAGGTGGTGACACTTAAAGGGTCGGTTCCCCCAAAATCCAAAAAACTTCTCTGGATTGTAGTCATGCAGATATCTTTGGTTTTATGCGCCCATATTATGAGATCTCTCTCAAATGCCTCAAAGGTTTGAAACTCCAATGAAAGGTCATTTTTTTTTCACAACACTGAACAATTACATTTAAAAACTTTAAGTTGTCTTTCCAGAAAGTGTCCCTGTTACTCTGGATAATCCACAGACCTCACTATAAACCGTTTTCATTAGAATTACTTTCTACCGATTAAAGTTAATCATTCTAGGAAATTTTTTTCTTTCTTTCCAGGAGTTTGAAGAGAAGATTTATAACACCACTCATGTTTGTCTGTTAAAGCTGGAGTAAGCTTTTTTGTTAAAATTCTCTTTTCATCTCGACAACAATCAATCCATCAAATGCTCTAATATAAAATCTAGCTGTCTCTTGCTAGTTTCTCCAACGTTGCCTGCCCTAGCTTTAAATATGACACCTAGCTTAGCATAACCAAATTGTGGCTACAGCTGAAGTTACGTGTTGCAGCTATTTCTTGGCAACAGTTTATCTACTCCTGGCAGTCACTGTGTGCAGCAGTTGTTTGTCCAGAAATAGTTACAGCAACTCCTCCCTGAAACCACATATTTGTACACATTTTTAGAATCAGAATCAGGTTTATTGCCAAGTATATTTTCACATGCAAGGAATTTGCCTTGGTAAATTGGTGCATATCAATAAACAGAAAAAATAAATAAATAAATAAAAAGTAAAAAAAAAAAAAAAAAGGTACTGCAAAGTCAAGAAATGGAGCTGTACACTTTATGCAGGAATGTACAAAATATATAAAATATTCTCCAAGATATGTGCAAAAATTCACAATATGCAGTATAAGGAATATTTGCAATATACTTAACATGCAGTGTCATATTGTTGAGTCCACTATACACCTAGGGGGAAAGGTTAGGTGCTGGTAGGTAGGTTTTTTAACTTTGGAAAGAGCCAAGTTAGCTGTTTCCCCTGTTTCAGTCTTTTCTGACTTTAATTGACATTAAATTAGATACTGACATTTAATGTCCCCTTTTACGATGAATTTTAATAACTTTGATGACTTTTCCTCTTGGGCCATTAGGTCAGAATTTTAATTTGTCCAAAACTTTCAAATACCCTCAAAAACTAAAAACTTTCCCATCATCCTCTGCTGTACTTTGAGTTTACTAATAATAAGCGAATCTTGGCATGCTCACACGCTTAACTAACATGGTGAACATGTACCAGCTAAACAACTGGCATGTTCATTGTCATTGTGAGCATGTTGTTAGCATGCTGATCTCAGCATTTAGCTCAAAGCACCCCCCCCCACAGAGCCACTATAGACTCTTTGTTAGTTTTGGTAGTTTTGACAGATATCTAAAAATCTGGGCACATAAAACCAATTTTATGTAATTCAATTTTATGTAACTGGGCAAACTGACCCATTAACCCTGTAACGCCAAGTGTGTCATATATGATACATGAGTTTTAGAGACCTATACATCATAAGTGTGATACTTTTTTTCTCCCAAAAACCTTATGTACACAATCAGATACATGTAATGCACGGATAATCCACCAGGGGGCTGAAATTCGTCCACCATAGGTCTTTCAACTGAGACAGCCAAAATGGAGGTTGTCAATCGGTGACCTACAGTCATAACTGTCTTTTGGTCATTGATTTTAAATAATAATTTACCAATTCAGAGAATACAGTAATTTGTGTTTGGTTTGTATTTTTTAAATGGCAAAAAACTACAGCATTAAAGATACCCTGATTATGAACTGCAGTTCAAGTGACAAGAGCAGTTAGGGGAAGATTATGAGGCTGATGATGATAAAAGGTTCAAAACATGTTGTGTTCTGCATGTTTTTTGTTATTTTAAAAAAACATGATGTGGGCAAAACATTGAAATAAATTCTGAATGTTTCAAATATGATACATACATGCAAAGAGATATTCACAAAATATTATTTGGCATTAGGTATAATAACCACTCCATATAAAAAAAAAGAATTTTCTGGCAATTGTTTGATGGTTCAGGCTTTACAGGGTTATAAGCCATATCTCCTGTAAGAGAGCTATTAGATATCTGTCTGGTAAAAATCCACCCACTGCTGTCCACACACAGCCCTGCTTTGGAGACCGACTCTGCTGGCTAGATGTAGTACTCCCACTCTTTCCTTTTATTGAAACACATCCACCAAATCCCACTCACAGCCAGACATACACAGGTGCACTCTGTTAAATCTGCCATCCCACTAGTTGGTATTTGTAGTCTGTGTAGCATCACACCATGCCTTTCTTCTTTTTCTATATTATTGGATTAAATTCCACCTTTTAAAAATGATTTTAAAAAATACACACCAAATAGGCTATAGGAAAATATGCTATCCTCGTCCTCACTCTATTCCTCCAGTCTTACCCCTAACTGAATCCCTCCTGAAGTGATTAGGTGTGTGTCTGATAATACACAACAAGTCATTGAATAGATTTTATGTCAGTATTAAAGATACTTTGGTTTAGTTTCCTAATAGGCCATTAGAGAGGGAAGTTGATGGTGCTTCCACGGAACTGGAGGGATCAATACATGCGGCTTGCAGCTCACAAAGACAATGGAAAGAGGGATGTTGCTAATCAGCCGTCATGTTCGGAAGCTTTTGGAGAAATTAAGCAATATAGTGCCTCAACCATCTGTTTTTGATGATATATGTTCTTCATGTGTTGGATTAAGGGTGTGAAAGAGCTGTCACAGCCATTGTTACAGTTGTGTTTCTTTATTTAAAAAATCCTATGAATTTAAACACATAAAAATGATGTGCTCACTGTATATACTGTTCATTGTCACTAAATTGTCTGAATTGACATGTTTATAAAGGGATCGTTATGTGTAGTGCATAACCAAGAACCACACATCACTGTAAGTATTAGGGTGAGCATGTAATGAGGGTTTTTTCCAAAATAAAAATTCAGTAATCAAACCTTAACTTCATCCTATGATTTTCCCCTGTGTGTGATGCCCTTTCCCTTACATGAAATTGTGACTCATTCAAGACTTTACAATCCTGAAAACAAGAGTCCCAGACAGGAAATCATCATTTATCCTCCTCCAGCAGATGGTGCTCACGAATAACTAAGCCCAGAAAATAGTCAATATTTAAAGAAGCCTAGATTGGGTCTGACCACATTGGGCATTCATAATCTAGTACCCATTCACCATCTGTATCTCTTGTGCTGTGAGGGATGCTTATGAAACCTCTTTAGCCACAGGGTTAACAAGAGGTGAGCATTAAGCCAAAAATACAACTCTGGCAGCTAAGGGGGGAGCATAATTAGAAGAAATTAAATCTAACTCTCTAATGTTATATATCGAAACATCAAATCAACAGCCTCCTGAGCTGAAAGAGGAAATCCAAATACTGGTGGACCATGCTGTATCCTCTTGTGAGTGAAGAAATGACTTGTGCGTTCTCATGCTTTTTTGTCTGATGTATCCCCACAGCCCTATTAGATGAGTTTAAGTACCCTCATCAACACTACCCATAATGTTCCAAATGTGTTCATTAAAATTGATGTCAAACTAGATGTTATTCAACAATATTAAATCAATATATTATATAGAATGTCGGAGTTGACGAGACATTCATGTCTCTCAGGATGAACTGTAATAACTTTGGGGATCCTCTGACTTTTCTTCTAACACCACCATATGGTCAAAATTTTAATTTGGCCAATGCTTATGATTGTTGAAGAATCATTGTGAGCCAGGTTCAGGTGTGATGAAGAAGTTAACATAGAGAGGAGATACAGTGCCAGAATACAACAGCTTACCAAGCGGCAAGCTTCCCTGTCTGAGACACAAAGCCAATGCGGAAGTCCCTTAAACCTGCATTCTATTGAACAGCCAGCAGGGGGCAACTCTTCTGGTTGTGAAAAGAAGTCTGGCTCCATTAGAAATAATGGTAAAATGACCCTACTTCTCAGCTGATTTATTACCTCAGTAAACTCTTTCCTAATGTGTTTATGGTCTCAGTTGCTAGTTTCATGTCTTCTTCAATACAACATGATATTCATTTAGTAAATTATGGTCCCATGTAGAGGAAAATAGACCATAAAGCAGAGTATGCTTCAGGGCAGAATTATCTGTGATTGACAAGTCGTTACCATGTAGACCTGTCAATCAGGCTAGAGGCGACTCGTACCCTCAGCACTGTGTAAATTTAACCAGCGCCGTTGAAAAAGCTTATTAGGAGTTGGATGTTAACGTTCCCTGGTGAGTACATTTAGTTTTAAGCCTGTTTTTTGCTAGACAAAGATGTCAACCCTGTTAAAATGACAGTTAACGTGAATTACAGATCCACCTAGCTAAGCAAGTTAGATCCACCGTCTCGTCCAAATCAGAATCAGCTTTATTGGCCAAGTATGTGTACACATACGAGGAATTTGACTAAGGATTGTACATTGTAAATGTGGTCACGTCCAGTGCCGCTGGTTGCAAAAACTCAACATGGCAGCGTCCTATCGGCCAAGCTCAAGGCTTCAAAACGGCAGTCCACAAACCAATGTTACAATGTTAGTTACTGTTGCTAAGTCCAACAAACTGTCGGCGCTGCCACTGTCTATTACTGCAATCCCCGGAGAAATATTGTCATATTTGTTGGAAAAAGCGATCTCAGAAAGAAGCAGACAGCCGTTGCATTATACATTTGAAGGTTGTATTCAGGCTGTCAAACTGACTCAAACGGCTATTTTTGCATTAGAGTCAATGGAGCGCAGCCATGAAAGTGTAGGACCTCAGTTAGAGCAAGTCCTATACTGCGCTGTGATTGGCCAGCTGTGTATTCGGGGCGTGGCTTAGCAAAGGGTCAATTGGTTATTTGTTCAAATCAAGACATGTTGTGCAACACAACAGTGCATCACTATCAACTCAGCTGTGCCAGTCAGTCGACAAACAGAGAGGAGAGCAGAGAGGAGAGGAGAGAGATTTGGAGAGGCCCTGGCTGTCACCTTTGGCTTACTTTAGCAAAGCAATTCACCCTATCATGACCTGGGGAAACCTGTGTCATAGTATCCATAAATGATTCCTTCACAATGACGATGACCATGTACCTGCAAAATATTCCAATCAGCCTCAGCTGTACCATGTGTTTAGTGCTTATTAGCAAATCATGTTCATCATCAGGTTAAAACTGACTCAGGTTGTTGGGATTTATCTTGTCCTTTTCATATCTGGAAGTTTATTAGTTTGGGGGAGGGTTTCTGACCAAATATATTGAAGATCAGCTTCAGCTTTAATATATATGTGGCTATAGCCTAGACATAGTCCAGATGTACTTGGTAATAAACCTCATTCTGATTCTGATGTGCTGGTAGAGGTGCTAGTAAGCGATTTCCCCCTATTTCCAGTCTTTGTGCTAAGCTAAACTTCATATTTACTCATTTACAAAAATAAGAGGGGTATCTTCTCATCTAACCTTTGGCAAGAAAGCTAATAAGCACATTTCCCAAAATATATTAATATTTCGTTAAGTTTTAATGTGTAGTTATGTTTCCTACATATTTGAAACATTTGCTGCTTTATGTAGAAGAATCTATATTATGCAAGCTTGGAATAACAGGGTTTTGAAGCACAGTCCAGAGCATCAGACAGACAGGAGCTCTCCTTCCCTGCTTTTACCATAAGTTCTTCTGTTGTAGATGCCAGGAAAATGCCTTTGAATTGACTAAAGCTGATCTGAAGTTAAAGAATGGAAATTTTGGAGACAGACAGGACAGAGAATGAAAGCCAGTACATCGAGCCAGTTTCATAGATGGTCCTGGAAGAGCTAGGGCCATCTGCTCATCACTGTTGCTGGATCTTCATTACAGCCACACTCTTGGAGCTCATGTTCCTTTCATGAGCTTGTGGCTTTGCCCACTAGCACACAAAACCAGAGCACTTATGCATCTACGAGTGCTCGAATCACTTTGTGTAAGGCATTGTAGCTGAAGCGTGCATTCACCTTTTGACCTTTTTGGCATCATTGGCACTCCTAGCAAAGACCTACATCCACACACACATCTGATGTTATATATATACACACACACACACACAAACACACAGTCGAGACATTTCCTGGCAGTCCCACTGAAGCCTTTAAACCTTTTCAGAGCCTTTTACTCTGAATTTTTTACCTCAGCTCTTTAAACAGAAACTTTGAGTCAATTCCCATGGCACTCTCAGAATCCCAAGTCTGTAAATTTCTGATTCAAGTGCGACCTCAGTTCAAGCCAGTGGCTTCAATGCCCAACACACACAAACATATACACACACACAGCAAACCCTCTCTATCCCCCAAGGCACCCAAAACCCCTTCTCTGAATTATTCACCGAGCCAGCTTTGTTCATCGATCCCTTTCTACACCTCTCACTCACACGGACACATCTTTCACTTAACACACAAGACCAGGAGCGGCATAATGGGCTGCTTCCTCACAATTCACCACCACAGCGGATTCCTCCTCTTGCCCTTACTAATACCTCCTACAGGTCGAACCTAGCAGCCTGTCTGCTGGCTTTTGTCAGAGTTGTTGTTTTCATGATTATCATAATAAAAAGAAAACCCTCAAGTGACGTTCAAACTAGAAGTGTCAATACCACATCATCAAATCCCTTCTTCTGCCCTTGCCTGAAGAAGTTTAATTAAAAATTTTCTCAATACACAGCATTTCTTCATAACACCAAAACGGGCTGGGCTGTTATTGTCTCTCTAGTGGAGCCAAAAGCAATTATTAGAATTTATTTTGAGCCCACGTTAATAATTCAATCGATATCAGTTTCTCCAAACGCTTCAAACAGCTTCAATATTTAAGACAGACGTTAAAGCTCATAATGATCTTCCCGTTCTTTTGAAGACATTCTCAAACATTCCCTGGCCCTCTTCCTGAATGATGCATTCGCTGACTTTCATCTCCTTTGTGCGGCTTCACACTGACCCTTTTTCTCAGCATCAGACATCTCTCCCATTACATTCATCATACTCAAAAACCAGCCATCATTACCCATAATCCACCATGGGCAGGCATTTTTTTCCTAATGTGCAGAATATTTACTTTCATCGTTTTGCATCAGGCGAAGTCACTGGCCTTTGGTACTGGTCAGTTGTGTTTGTGTGATGTAAAATATGTTGCCTAGATTATGAAATGTAACACATCTCTATTCATTTCTATTTGAACAGCAGTGAGATTATTTTAATACATTTACTTCGTAACTTGTAACATTTAATATTTAAGAAAATCAACCTGGCAATGTACAAGAAGTGGATGACAGGTCCCATGGGAGAATCTTTACTCATGGAGCTGCAGGCAGACTTATCTTTCATGGCGATATGTACAAAGCCCATATTAGACAGTGAGTTTCATAATTTGTTTTAAAACTATTTTATCAGTTCGAATATAAAGCAAAACAAATAACATCCCAAAAAGGAGAAATGCTTCATACACAACAGTGCTACCAACTTAAGAGAAGACATCTAGACCAGAATGAAAACAACCCACCTACCTCACAAACAGGTTTCCATTTAAATACTCATAGTCCCTTAAATGATATGTTCGAAATATCTGGAGGGCCATAGTCCAGAAGTGGCTTTCAAATATTCAGAAATAACTGATCTTATGTTTAAGTACATAGTGCTGACCTTAAATGTGGCAACACAATTCAAAAACTGTGTCTACATTGTAAAAAGAGATGAAAATAAATTCCTTTTACACACAGGGGTGATAATTTCTGATCCATCTCGTTCCAAACAGAGGGAGTTACATGTTATAGTCAATAGGATGACTGGTAAGAAATTGTGGACTGTTTTCACAGCACGTAATAGACTGCAACTACATCCTCTGTGCATTCAGTGTCAAAACCATTCTTGTGTCGCTGGAGAGAAGAAGCAAGGAAAAGGAAAAAATGAAATGGGAGGAATTTTTGTCCAATCGAACAGGCAGTATG